ATCTTCAGCCTTACCAAGGATGCTTCCTTTAAAGACAATTAGAGATGGATTTTTGCATTATTTAGTCTGATTTTCTATAGTACTTGAATGGTAAAATATTTTGCAAGTATTCTCTCTGTCTATGTATACCCCATCTTACTCAGTGCAGACTATAAAATCCATAAACAGATGAAAAATAGTTCAGTATTTTCTGTTGCTTGTGCAGGATTAAGATTGTCTGACAAAAACCACATCACTTCCAAATTCTTTACAATTATAGACCATTTTATAACAGAGAAAGTAGGTTGATTTGGTGGTTTAAAGAGAAAGCCTAATATGTGAAATCTTAACAAATATCTTTCTTTGAAAAAAACTTACACAAAGTTGTTAAAAATATTTCATAATATTCACATTTCAAAAATGCGACTTGAAAGTAATTGCACTCATATAAATTATATCAAATTAATTTAGAAATTAGAGAAAAATACTGAGAAAAGTGAGAAAAATCATAGCCATTTAAAAACATAATCACTGAGAAGAAAAACTCAATGGAATTATGCAAACAAAACGTTATAAAGGGAGTGAAGCTCTACATGGTAAGTTATTTCAGAATATAAACAAGAATGATAAGAAGATAGAAACTATGAGTATAAAAATTCTATGTACTTCCTATTCCTCAAAAAGAAAATATTCTAAAAAGGAATTATATACTCTCAAAAAAGCATTATAAATTTAAAATTTTTTAATTAAAATTTTAAAATTTAATTAAATGAAATAACTTAATAATTTTTATTAATTTATTTTAAAATTTTAATTAAAAAGTTGTTTTGGAAAAATAGAAGTGATAAATTGAATAACATAAAACTAGATTTGTTGAGTCATTGCTTTAATATGTTTATTAGTCTTAATAAAAGTGAACTAATAATGAAAAACAGTATTCTCAAGTAAATTCTCAGAGTTTTTCTGTCAAGATTATATGGCATGGTGTGTCTAATGAACTTATTAAAACACCTAGTACATAGTACTTTTTCAACAAGTGATAAATTATCTTACAGTAATTATTATAATCATTATTATTACTACAGGATTGTCAACCTTTACCTCAAGCCACGGACAAGGAGAAAATATATGTAATACATATGTCTGGAAAGGACTTACGCTCAGAATACATAAAGAACACTCACAAATCAATAATAAGCAAATAACCCATGTATAGTAAGTAAAAATACTTCTACAAACAATTCACAAATAAAGATGTATGAATGGCCAATAATCAAATTAAAAGATGTTGAGTATCATGAGCCATCAGAGAAATGCAAATTAGGACCACAAACACATGAAATACTTGCACTCAAGAATAGAAATAAACACTAACAACAACAAATGTTAGTAAGATTGTGGAATGACCTCTTATATTGATGATGAAAGGGTAAAATGGTATAATGAAATTTGAAATTTATTTTGCAATTTCTTATCAAATTAATCATGCATCTATTCTACAACCACACATTTCTATTACTAGTTACTTTTCCAAGGGAAATTAAGATGTATGCCTACAAAAGACTTATACAAATATGTTCATAGCAAATTCATTTACAAAGAAAAAACTGAAAATAACCCAGGGTTCAAGCAGCAACACATACACACAGTTTAGTATATTTGTTTAATATAATACTACTTAATGATTAAAAAGAAAGAAACATGCAACACTGATGAATTTCCAAAACATTCTAAGGAGAAGAAAAAGCTGGACACACAAAAAAATACATACTGTATAATCCTATATAGACATGAAGTTCCAGAACAAATCAGTGGTTGTACTGTGCAGGAAGGGGCATTAAGAAACTTCTGAGTTCTCGTGTTGCGTTTTTCAGCTCCATCAATTCACTTATATTCCTTTCTATTTTGTCCATTCTCATTAGCATTTCGTCAAATCTTTTTTCAAGGTTCTTAGTTTCTTTGCATTTGGTTAGAACATGTTCTTTAAGTTCACAGAAGTTTCTTACTACCCACCTTTTGAAGTCTGATTCTGTCATTTCATCACACTCGTTCTCCCCCCAACCTTATTCCCTTGCTGGTGAGGAGTTGTGATCCCTTGTAGGAGGAGAGGTGTTCTGGTTTCGGGTGTTTTCATCCTTTTTGTGCTGGTTTCTTCCCATCTTTAAGGATTTATCCACCTAAATCCTTAAAGATGGTAATTTACAGATTCAATGCTATCCCCATCAAGCTACCAATGACCTTCTTCACAGAACTGGAAAAAATCACCTTAAACTTCATATGGAACCAAAAGAGAGCCTGCATAGCCAAGTCAATTCTAAGCAAAAACAACAAAGCGGGAGGCATCACACTACCGGACTTCAAACTATACTACAAGGCTACAGTAATCAAAACAGCATGGTACTGGTACCAAAACA